GAAGCGCGTTGAGACATCTCGAAGATGCAATAAGGCTCTGTATGAAATGCAAGGATTGCTATTATTGTTGTTGTGTAGTGTTGCTGGGAGAAAAGTAATTTAAAACAATTTGCCTTTGTTTTCTCCTGGATTGTATTGACTGCAGATAAGGCAGACATGTGCAGTAACCTTGGTTTCCATAGCCAAGTTGGTTTGCACATCCCCAAAATATTTCACTTAAGGAATGTTAAAACACAAGTCATTGAGCTGCATGATTTGCAACTTCCTATTTGTGTTGTGTTTGCCTTTTAAGCAGGACATGCAATGAATTGTCCCTAAACTGTATCTAAATAGTTGCCCTTAAATAATTTATTAACAGAAATCAACAATCTTTTCTAGCCTTTTGTCTTTGCCTAGTGGATCTCATCACAGTGCACTACATCCTTGACCTTGGAGTTCAGTGGACTAAACTGATGCCTTTTTTACCTTTAAGGTTTTCTGATTTCTGTTAATAAATTATTTGAGTGCAACAGATAGATCCGTGTTCAGGGCAGACAATTCGCAGGATGTCCTACTTCAAAAGAAGCACAACACACATGGAGAGTTGCAAGTTGTACGATTTCAGCCCAGGTTTGGGAGGATGAAAGCCTTGATTTCTTAGATGATTGTTAAGGGTTCTCAAATGAAATGAGTTTGGACACAGCGGGGGGAAAAAACACCCAAACCATTCCCAGCCTACCCACATGAATGAACGTACAGTGTGTGCTTCAATGGGGAGTTTGGGAGACAATTGTGAAAGAGACATTGTGATTTGTGTGTGTGTGTGGGGGGGGGGGGGTTGTTGTCCCAATTCAATTCTTTGCAATCATGCTTGGCAATAGATTAGATACGTCTGTGCCATAAGCAGGAATAATAGAGGTACAGTACTTAACACTGACCAGTCTTATCTAAAGAATGCGATTTGTTTAGTCAATGGGCTAGGCTGACAACCCTCAGGCATGGAGTAGTTATTGGGGGTGGGGTGGTGCAGCAACCAGTATAATGACTAATGTTTGTGAGACGAGGAAAGGGTAGGGGATGGGGGGGGGGGGGAACAGGCAGAAAATGACATATGCACTTTTGATGAGGGATCATTAACTCGTCCTTTGTCTATAGTTTGGGAAGGCAGTCAGTCAGTTCCTGTGTGTACAGTATTCCAGTGACTACACACCTGCCCCTGCAATAATTCTCCCCCCCCCACCCGATAACTTCTCTGCACGACCAACACGTTAGTCTGATGAGAATAATAACTCGTTAAAAACACTGGAAAGAATTCTTACTTTTGAATTTTTTAAAATTCTCTCACCATCTTTTAGCTAGGGTTCCCGTTGGCTTGTGCTTGGGGGCTGGGGGCTGGGTGGCTGGGGGGCCTGGGTGGCTGGGGGCCTGGGTGGCTGGGGGGCCTGGGTGGCCGGGGGGCCTGGGGGCCGGGGGGCCTGGGGGGCCTGGGGGGCCTGGGGGGCTGATGGCTGGGGTTGGGGGCGGGGGCCTGGGGCCGGGGCTGGGGGCTGGTGGCTGGGGGCTGGGTGCCTGGGGCTGGTGGGCTGGTGGCTTGTGCTTGCTGGCTGGGGCTGGTGGACTGGGGGCTGGTGGCTTGTGCTTGGTGGCTGGGCTGGTGGGCTTGGGGCTGGTGGCTTGTGCTTGGTGGCTGGGGCTGGTGGGCTGGTGGGCTGGTGGCTTGTGCTTGGTGGCTGGGGCTGGTGGGCTGGGGGCTGGTGGCTTGTGCTTGGTGGCTGGGGCTGGTGGGCTGGGGGCTGGTGGCTTGTGCTTGGCGGCTGGGGCTGGTGGGCTGGGGGCTGGTGGCTTGTGCTTGCTGGCTGGGGCTGGTGGGCTGGGGGCTGGTGGCTTGTGCTTGACGCCTGGGGCTGGGGGCTCTCCCAGTTTACTTCTTTTCTATTAATATAGTAGTCTTTTCTGAATGAAAGAGCAACATGTTCCCTGAGCAGCCTCCAGCTCAGTTCCCCAATCCTGGGTGAAGGCTGTTGATTGGAGGCTGGTGGGTCCATCAGTCGAGGAATACCAGAAATGGCAAGGAACCACCAAGGATAACAATGTTTTTCGTTTTTCTGGGTTTTTTTCAAAGAAAAGGTATCTGACTTGCCAGCACTGAATTTCAGTGTGGGCAGCAGCAACCGCATTTAATTTCCAATTTGTTCTGTTTGTCCCCCATGTTTCTCTGTCTCTCTTATTTTGTTAGATTCAAGGCTGAGTGTTAAGGCTGGGAGGGTGTGGGAAAACAACAAACTGTGTCAGTCTTTCTTGTGCAACGTCAAAGTATGTAAATGTGGTAACTCAGTGCTGGTCTCACTCTCCACATCCTCCAGACATTGATTAAGGAATGTGATTTTTCACACAGCACTGTAATCTAATTAACATCTATTAAAGCTTTAAACAACTCTTTACTCTGGTCTTTCTCTTTCTCACTCTGCTTCCCATTGAAGTCACTGGCGCAGATCAATGGGAGTCGAGAGAGAGAGAGAGAGAGAGAGGAGCCTTAGTTTCAAATCAGAGCAATGAGAATTATGAAGGGAGGAATGGGGGGAATCCATCAGGTTTAAAGTTAAACCCATTCCTGGTGTATGGGAGGGGTGTCAGTGACAGCAACAACAACTTGCACTTATATAGCGCCCTCCATGCAGGGTAGTGTCTCAGAGCACTCAACAGTGATGGAGCCTGACTCCCAGCCGGGTTGGGAGGAGGTGGCCATAAGCACAGTCGAAGAGGAAGGTTTTCAGGCAGGACTTGTAAAAGGGACGTTGTAATGTTCTGCTGGAGAAAAGTGATCGGGGGAAGACATTATGTAATGGTATTTTTACAGAAGGTTTCTCACTATAAGTAACCCCCCCATCTCCTCCCCAATTATAAAGGTTAAACAACTAAAAAGAAAGATATTTGACTTAATTGTTCATAAGTTGTATTTATACAATGCCTTTTCCAGATTGAAATTGATATACACAGTATATATAGATACGTTCTAACAATAAGATTACATCACTGGGGTATCGGATGGGATGAGTTGTTCAGACCCATGATACATGGCAGCTTGAATAATAAAATAATATAATATAATCAATAACCTAGGGATGATTCAGTGATTTAATCTTGTGTGTGGATAATGATAATGATAATTCACCCTAACCCTAACCTGCTGCATTGTTGAGCTCAACACCTGATCCAATTCACTTCCTCTAAACTTTTGAGCAAATGCATTCAGGAACATGGACAAAAGAAAATGTGAAATTTCATCAAAATTAGTTCTGCTAAGTGTTGGCTTTAAATGCTCTCCCTCCAAAAGACAGGAACATGCAAGTAAGTTCAATGCGTTTCAAAGCTTCTGTGCTCCATGAGCTGCTTGCAATTTTGCGTTTTGCGTGCAATTCAGTTGTTTTACGCTCTTCTTCAAGATCACTGGGGGCAGAGAATCCTCCCACTCAGCTCATGTTAACCCTGCAAGCCAAAGCCCTAACGGGTAGGGTGGTCCTAGCTGGACAAGCAGTGGAAACGCTTGCCAGACAGTGTCTCAATGGGAAGCTGAATGGTTTGAGCTGGTTAGACTCCAGCAGTTACCCCAATGCGCACTCTGGGGGTCCCCAAGCCTTGTCTCTTGCCAACCTACACCTCATACTTTCCGGAATTAGGTAAGCAGGATATGTCCCTCTATGGAGAGAGTGCGCATTCCAACAATCAAACTCTGGGATTTCCATGTGTAGGTGAGCTGCAGGGAATTCTCAGTTGGGTTTGGATACTCTTGAGTACGGTGATGGTTTTCCTTCAAGTGTGGGCACCCGTCAAAAAAAAAAGCCCTGTGCTGTGCTTTCTTTGAAGATAGTTGTGAGATGCAATCATAGGAATAATCCCTTCAAAAAAAATTATTTGGTCACTCAATCCACTGTTTGTGGGACGCAATTGGCTGCTGCGTTTCGCCCTCAAAATATAGTCAATTCACTTTACAGATATCCTGTGAAGCGCTTTGAGACGTGATAAAGCGCTATATCAAATGCCAGAATTATTATTAGAAGTAGTATTATTATTTATTTTGTAGCCGACATCACGAGCAAGCAGTGTTAATAATAGCCCTTGCATTTGCAACTGTATAGCTCCTCATCACGTCTTCGAGACGTCTCGAAGTGTAGTGACTGTATATTTTTTGTGGGCGCATCGTGCCGGCGTATCGGTCAGTTGCACACTTCTATCCGGTGTCTCCTGCGAAGCGCTCCGAGAGGTCTGGAAGACGTGCTGAGGCGCTGTATGACATGCCAGGGTTATTATTGTTATTATAATCGAGTAGTCAGGCAGGATATGGCTTTACTCCCCCATTTGTCACCAATCCCATGGCTCAGGGTTGGAGCTGAGCCAAAAGGCTGTCCCTTTAACTCTCACCTACTCCCTTATAAGGCTTGACCCCGCCCCGCGAGTCACATGGCACACACAGGCAGCCTGACCCCACCCACAGGGCGGGCGTATGCAAATCACTCCATTGTGACGAAGAGTGACGGACGGCACCGGCGGCCAATCGAGCTCCCAGCAGCGTGGAGGGGCGGGGCGGAGCGGAGGCGGGGCTCCACTCCACCCGGCGCGAGGCGGGCGTCCGTCCGTCCGGCCGCCCTTTGTGGGCCTGGGAGTCCCGCCTCGGGCGTTGTCGACTGACGTGAGGGAAGGACCAATGGGAGAGCGGCGCGGCGCGGGGGAGCGCGGCGATTGGGCGAGGGGTGTGGGGCGGGGGCGGGTCCGCTGGCTGGTGCTGTCAGGGCGGGAGGCGCCGTGCGTGTGCGCGCGCGTGTGTGTGTGTGTGTGAGAGTGCGAGAGCGACGGCCGCGGGGCCGGGTCTGTGAGGTAAAAAAAAAAGGACAGCGTTCGACGCTGTTCGGGGGCTGCGCGTTGGATTCCCTTTCCTTCCCTCCTTTTCCCTCCCTCCCACCTTCCCTCCCTCCCTCTCTCTCTCTCTCCCTCCCTCCCTCCTTGTGCAGTGCGTGAGGAACAGCATGGCGGCGGCGGCGGCGGAGGAGAGGGGTCAGCCGGCCGCTAAACGCCTCTGCTCCAGGCCCTTCCCCGCTGCCCGCGGGCCGGGCTCGCAGACCGCCAGCCCGAGCGGCCGAGGCCGGCGCAGCCCCGAGTCGCTGCTGGACGCCAGCGCCAAGATGGTGGCGGAGAAGTGGCCGTTCCAGCAGGTGGAGGAGCGCTTCTCCCGCATCCCCGAGCCCGTGCAGCGGCGGATCGTGTACTGGTCCTTCCCGAGGAACGAGAGGGAGATCTGCATGTACTCGTCCTTCAACTACTACTCGCCCGAGGAGACGGCGGCGGCCGCGGCGGCGGCGGGAGGAGGAGGAGGAGGAGGTGGTGGTGGTGGTGGAGGAGGAGGGGGTGGAGGAGGGGGTGGGGGTGCGAGCGCCGCCGGGCCCGGCTCCGGCTCCGGGGACGATGAGAACCGACTGCCGTTCAGGAGAGGCATCAGACTGCTGGAGAGCGGTTGTGTGGACAATGTTCTTCAAGTAGGTGAGTGGGGGTGTGGGGGGGACTCTGGGGGGAGGGGACGACGACGAAGAAAAGGGGGGCGAGAGAGAAACAAAAAAGGATCACCTTTGTCCCCCCCCCTCCCCCCTCACACACACACACAATAATAATAATAAGGGTCCACAATCGTTCGATGACATGTTTCGTTTGAATTAGCTTTTGTTGTTGCTGATCAACTCTTCCATCTTTACATCTCTCTCTTCCGACGATCAGGACACGAATCGTTTGAATTAGCTTTCTTTTTGCCCCCCCCCCCCCCCCCACCCCCACACACACACACTTTTACCCCTGGTGTTCATCTCCCTCCTCGTCTCCCTTTCTATGTGAAACCCAAGAGCCAAACATAAATAGGGCTTTTACCTCGACAAAATGTTCCACAGTCCAATAGTTTCACTTTTTAAAACAAAAATCGCGTGAAGACCTTTTTTATGAGTTTAAAAATTGGAGAGGGAGAGAGAAAAAGGGGGGGGGGGAGGGGAAGAGAGAGGAGGAGGGAAGAGAGAGAGAAAGGAAGAGAGAGAGAGGAGGAGGGAAGAGAGAGAAAGGAAGAGAGAGAGGAGAGGAAGAGAGAGAGGAAGAGAGAGAGAGAGGAAGAGGAAGAGAGAGGAAGAGAGAGAGAGAGGAAGAGAGAGAGGAAGAGAGAGAAGAGGAAGAGAGAGGAGGAGGAGGAAAGAGAGAGAGAAAAGAGGGGAAGAGCGAGAGAGAGAGGGGGGGGGAAGCCAAAAATAGCCCAGGGTTTCTGACCACAAAAGGAAGTACTTACAGCCTTTTGTTGATGTCGATTTGTTTGGGTTTTTTTAATCGTGGGAAGAGTGGTTTTGAGGAGATGTTGAGTTGAGTTGGGGTTTAAGAGGGGGCGGACAAGTACGAATAGAAGCTGCGCTGCGGTTCCCTGCCCGAGGGGTGTGTGTGTGTGTGTGTGTGTGTGTACAGCAGTTGGGATTCCTCCTCTGTAAAGCGGTCCTGTTATGAGCACAGCTTTGTCGAGAGAGCAGAAACTGTAGCCCGTTGTTTGTTTTCTTTCACGAAAACAAAGACCTAATCTGCAACGTATTTAATTGTATTGAGCTGTCAGAAAGGATAAGGCTGTGAGTTAGTTGCCTGTGAGGAATGTTTCTGACACGAGGGGAAGAAAATGTCATCCTGGGATTTAAACCCCAGGCAGAGAGACAAGTTGGGAGAGGGGGTGGGGGGGTGTCAGCTATCTATTGGACGTTTGTATTCACTTAACTGCATAGGCGACGAGAGAGAAGTCATGTTTTTACTTTTGTTTGCCTGTATGCTCCCTGGAAATGAGAGAGAAGGATGGAGCAAAACGAAACCAGGGATAAAAGGCAACGAACGAGAAACAATAATCAGAATAGTCTCTGTAGCAATGCCAAGGCAAAGGGGTGGGGGGGGGGGTCTGAGTGTGGTGAAATAAAAGGGACAGATCCTCCTTTTTTCCTCATTTGTTTTCTAGTCAGTTTGATTGCTTTTTTGTTGTTACATAATTTTCAGCTGGCCAGCTTTGACTGTAGCTTTCTTTTTTCAGTCCATTATGTATTTTTAAAAACTATTTGCCCTTGAATTTTCCCTCGCCCATTTGACAGTAATGAATCGAGCCAAGTGGATATGTCCTGAGGTGATTCATTTCCCCGAGGTTCTGTTACCTTTACTTTTGTTCTAATTGCTGGGTTTGGATTCGCTGGTTCCCTTTTCATTGAATATAAAATGTAATTATTTAAAATTATAGTTCAGTTTCTTCTTTAAGGTGGGGGAGGGGGCTGCAGTTTTTTCTTTGTATAAGGAGAAATATTGAGATGTCTCAATAGTAGGAACAATGGTATTTTTATTTTCTTTTAAATTATATCTACATGATAACTGAATTACTACAAAGTGAATTTGAAGCATATACAGTTTCAGTCATTGTGCAAGTTTGCACTTGTGAAGCTTTCCTTTTTTAAGAAAATATGAATATTGAATCGTCAATTTGGCAGTTTGGGTTGACAGGATGAAGGCAGGTGAGAGATGATGAGATCGTGCAATTGCTTATTATTGAACTCTTTGCCAGCAATGGCCACATCAACCCGAGCCTGTCGGATGATCTCAGCGAAGCTTTGTCATGGACCCTGGAGTCAGTTTGCTCCCTCTCGTAAATGTAGCCTACTATTTTGCAACTTGGCTGCTTGCCACCTGGGGGTACAGGGTTGTCAGCTTGCTATTAAAGTGGATAGATAAAAGGATGCATTGGTTATGCTTCGGTTAGATTATTATCTAGGCTTGGTTTATCCCTTGACGAACGTTTGGAGGCAGAAATAGAAGCTTGGGAATGTTTGAATTTGTCGCAAGAAAACTTGGAGCTGTATGTCTAACTCGAGAGCCTATTCTGCGTATATGCAAAATACAGTGTGCTGTTGAAATACAAATAAGCAGGACTAATGAGGTTTGGGCCTTCTACTAAAGCCATTTTCTGAGAGAACGGAGTAGGCACTAAGAGCAGGTCACATTCATCTTATTTTTGTAATCATTTTTCGTGCTTGATCACACCGGCAGTTAGTACAAAAATTCAGAATATGTGAACCCTTTTTGCCCTAAGTCCATTATCTGTTAATGTGATGAAACAGCATTTTCTTATTCCTACACAATATTTCCTATTAAATGTACTTTTTTTCAAAAAAAAAGGAACATCAAAAACCCTATCCCACTTTAACTCCCTTTTGGAAGTTTGAAAATGCTCTTTCTGCAGTCTGATTGGGAATATGTATGAGGCAGCAAAGGGCTTCTTCATCTGCATTCAGAAGTCTGATCACAGTAAAGGTTTCAAAGTGCTTCACATGTGATTACTGAGAATGTAGTGACTGTTCTCGTAGGCATTATATCAACAAGGTCCCACAAACATTCCTGAACTGAATGTCCAATTCATTTTTAGAATAGGCCAGGGCACTAGGAAAAACTGCCTTCTCTTTTCAAGCAGTTATTGGATCCCTGAACAGCCAGAGGGGACCTTAGTTTAATGCCTCATCAGAAAGATGGCACCTCCGACAATGCAGAGCTCTGTTCAGTCGATTATGAGCCCACGTCTCTACATGGGATGGGGGAGGAAGGTGAACGGATAACCATGAGACATACTGTGCTACTTACTGAGCCAAATCTATGCAACATTTAACAACAACAAAATGGCAATTTAGTCTTTTTTTCTGAAGGTTGGTATAAGAAATGTGTGTTTGTATGTCTCGAAGACAGGGCTGGCATTGGCATTTCTATGGTTATATGGAAAGTGATTTAACAGGAGCTGGGACATGAAGAAGGAAGGAAGAAAAAGCCATTCAGTCCAACAATCCTGTTTCTTCTAGCGATGCATACTGTATCAGGGCCCCAAATCACATCTCTTGGCAGACAGTATTATGTGGATTCTACTCGAACTTCAAAGGCAGTCAACCCCTTCCCCCAGCATCACCAGAATATTTATCTGTCCCCTCCACTGAACCTTGTCTCCCTCCCCCAGAGGAGACATTTCTCTTTTCTTCCCTCCCCCACTGACAGCTATCTTATAGGCACATTTTCATTTTCAATATATTCTACATCTTTCAATATTGTTCTCAATCAGATGCTTTATCCTTTTTAAGCTAACAAAACTAAAAATATAAGGTGAAATGCATCTGAGTTTTCTTTAATTCTGTTTCCTGTAAATGATAATGAAGTAATTTTCTATTCCTATTACTAAAGTGGAAGAAATTGGCCGAGTCCTGTTGTTTGGGCACCTATATCAGAGTTGTATCCTTCTAGTCTATAAGATGTTGATTTCAGCTACACGGATAGCTTTTTGTTTTCTTCTATAAAGAAAGCATCGAGTTTGTAAGCATTTTAATGTTGATTGGATGCTACAACAACAACAAGATTGCATTTATAGAGCGCCTTTCACGTCGGGAGGATGTCCTAGTGAACTTACATATAGTATTTTATTATTCACTGTTTTTTAAAGGAAAGTAATCATGTTAACAATATTTAGTATTATACTGTTTGACTTTTGTGGGTTAAGCTTGTTTGAGGTCAAGCCCAGGGGTTTGCTCACTCAGTGCACAAATGTTGAATCGTCTTTTCCTGCTCAAAATGTGTTAATGATGAGATGCCTTCATATATACAGGACAGTAATAAATACTGAATTTCTATGATGTGGATATTCCCAGTAAGAGGAAGTACAGTTTTCCCAGTTCTCATTTCTCTAACCTTACTCCTTCTTTTAATACACCAATTAATGCAATAATTAAATGCAATCAATTTGCTGACTATTCAATCAGCATTAAATATGCAGAAATGTATAGTTAATTTTAAATTGATTAAATTATGAATAATTTAGAGCATGATGCAAGTGAAATGTCACCCACTCGCATTTTGAGGAATGCACTCCCATTTTTTTTAACAAACGAATCTCATAAAAGTAGGAATTTATGCAGTCACATGCTGAATTCAATGCTGGTCAAATGGTGGGAAGTTATTGACTGTAGCGAGGGTTGTGTTTGATCATCCACGGAACAACTAACCTGAGTGGACACGGTATTTATTCATGCTGTGGTTGTTATACAACTCCTGAAACAGTTATTACAGTTCACAAATAGCAGGGTTTTGTTGATATCTTGCAAAGTTGTGTCAGAACGGTGCTGAATCAGTTGCAGTTTGCCTGCTTTAACAGAAATCTGCACAGCTCATGATCAGCTGTTAATATAAAGGCTGTTTGCTATGTCTGTGTTTCACATACATAGCTGGTGATTTCTGAGCAGCCTGTCTCACAGCAAATGAGGGTCTGCATTAGTCATGCAAAATGTTTTAATGGTTTGGCCGAGGAATTTATAGAGTAAGCATAGAGCAGCCATGCTTTGCAAAAGCGGCATTTGTTTCTAAGGGAGGTAGAGAGGGTACAGAAAAGATCATTTAAAGCCTGTAAAGTCTCGGAAATGCATCATTTCATTGTAATTAGGTTAAAAATGCAAAGCCTGGGGGAG